AGAGTGATGGGCTTCTTTCAATCATTCTTACACATTTTTTCCTACTGGTGATGTTAAACATTTAGAAAAAAAGGAGTGGCTCAGTTGAAGATGCTTCCTGTGTCTGGGTTAAGAGAGCAAAGTGAATTTAACCAGGGTGAAACCTACGACTCTGGCCCCATTCACCAGTCACCCGTACAACGACAGGGTCCTGGGACCATTTCTTGGACATTTTCTACACTTCAGTTACTTTATAATCGATGATAAAAGTCAAGAATGTACTCACATCTTTGTTTTTAATCTCCATCAGGACATGCACCTTCCTACTTCCAAAAGCAGAGTCAATCCTATCTCCACTGACAACACACAAATCATTCTTGTTGATCTGTCTGTGTTAAGAAATAATACCCTAGAGTCGAGCAGCTTTTCATGTTCCTGTTGGCCACCTGCATTTCCTCTTTTGGAAAAATGCTCCATTCTTCTGCCCATATTTTGAATGGGTTGTTTGTTTATTTGCTTTTTAACTGAAGTATAATTGATTTTAAATGTTGTATTAGTTTCTGGTGTACAGCGTGGATGGACCTAGAGGGCATTATGCTAAGTGAAGTAAGTCAGAGAAAGACAGATACTCTAAGATATCACTTACATGTGGAGGCTAAGAAAAATATAACAGACTAGTGAATATAACAGAAAAGAAACAGACTCACAGATGCGGAGAAGGAACTAGTGGTTATCAGTGAGGAGAGGGAAGGGGGAGGGACGAGGTGGAGGTGGAGGATTAAGAGGTACAAACCATCAGGTATAAAATAAGCTACAAGGATGTACTGTACGGCGTGGGGAATACAGCCAGTATTGTATAATACCTATAAATGGAGTATAACCTTTAAAAATTTGTGAATCACTTATATTGTATACCTGTAACATATAATATTATACATCAACTATACTTCAGTTTAAAAAATACGATATTGTAAAATAAAGTTAAAAATTAAACAAAAAAAAAAAGAAGAAAAAAATAATACCCTAAAAAGTTCTACTCCACAATGATTCCTCTATGTCACAACAACTTTCTAAAACTGTTCTCTTCAACATGTCACAGTACAATGTGATGAAGAAGTCTACCTGAGTGAATAATACACTGAGCTTTCCAGGCATGTTTATAAAAATAAATATAGTTCATTAAACACACACAGGTTACAAACCAAGCCTAACTAAAAAGGAATTGCTATTTCTTTCATATTTCTCCCATTATCCTTTTATGCATCATCAATTACAATCTTTCCTCTGGCGGGATCACGCTGAGTCAAGTGAACGAAGACTACGGGACAAGACAGAGCCCAACTGTATAATATAAAGCATGATCCTAACGCACTGCAATCAGAGAGGAGGGCTGGGGAGAATAAACAGAGGAGTAGCATCCTCTAAGATGTCCCGGGGGGACACCCTCAGGGAGGAATGGGTGCCTCTCGCTCCTGGAGAGGTGTCTGGGAAGACACCACCACTGGAAGGGATCTTTCCTTTCCCATCCATGAAAGGCCACTTCTCCGTCTGTAACACAGGCCCAGAGCGTCTCTTCTCCAAGAAGGTCCTCAGGACCCCTGAGCACAGTGTTGGAAAGCAGAGAGAGCCTTCCCGCGGCAGTCTGCACCGGCTGGTCCTGGTTCTGCCTCTGTGTGACCTTGGGCGGGCCACCCAACCACGGCGGACACGGCTCTCTTATCTACCAATAACCTCCTTTCCAACCCCACCTTCTGTTGTGTGGTACTGACCCCCCTGGGGACCCGGGGTGGGTGGGGTCTGCCAGTGAAGAAGGCCCAGTAAATGACTAGCAGCTGAGGGCCATGCTTTCTTGGATGGAGAATCACTCAATTACCTTCCTCATCGCTGCTCTTGTTTCGTGCCACCTGTTTTACCCTGTAGCTGAGCCTCCACTTTGATCCCATCCAAGCATCCCCTTGGGTAGATCCCTGAATACATCTTTATCTGGAGCAAATGCCCCAGATTCCTCCCTAATGATTTGATGTAGGAAGCCCTCACACAGCCATTTATTTCTAGGCACTGACTTTTATTAAACCTGTGACCATTCTATCTCACTGTAATACAGTGCTCAGCCCCTACTTAGTTCTTCAGCATCAAAGGATGCAAAACCTCCATGGCTAGTAGCCTCTTCCTTCAACAGGAGATAGATGAAATGAAAATGACCCTTACAGGTCAAATCCAGCCTCGCCTGGCTTCTAGAACTGTAGCTTCAGGAACTGTGTTATCACTTGTCATCTAGGAGAGTTCTTTGCTCACAACATACTCAGCAGAGCCAAGGAAAACTGAATCACACAAGTACTCTCCAGAACTCGAGTGTCCTGGACCAGGCTCAGGGAAGACTGCACATCATGAGGCTGGACACAGCAAGCCGTCTTGGCCCGGACCTTTAACATGACTTAGAATCCCAGTACTGAATCCCACATCTGGGGTTCCTTGCTATGAGCAACCTCATTATGATTTGACCTGTACAATCTGTCTATAGCAGGAAAATGTACAGACTGCCAAGCTGTTTGTTGTAAAGTAATAAGGAGGCATTCTGGTTCATGCAGGTTGATGTACTTGGTTACTGTAAACCTCCCAAGGCAGGGCACCCATCGCTGGGAGTCTGCAAATCTGGGAGACTAAGTCCTAGACTCAGGGGAACCGCAATGGCCACCTTGAGACCCCAACCTGGACAAGATTCATCAAAATAATGCCACCAGGTGAGGCCTAAGGGAAGCCAGCTCAGCAGCAGGCTCAGGAGACCCAGTGGTAGCTCAGCCTCTCAGAGTCTCACGTTTTATATTAATGCAGCGTTTACAGTTCATCAGAGAATTTAAGGCTCATTTTGCAACAAGTATGACTCACACAATACACACCATCAGTGACCTCAAGTTCTTAGACTCCAACCATTCTCTCAGGTGGAAAAACAAGCCCCTTAAATCTAAAGTATATGCTATATATGTTATTCTTTGCATAAAGCAAAGCTTCAGTCCAGCCTGAATTACTGTAATATTATTTTTATAAGCCCTCACACCTGTACACAGCATCACAATTTATGTAGAACTTTCAGATTTATCATATCATTTGGTCCTTATAATTCATCAAGATAGGGACCGCTGTCCTTGTTTACATGAAAAAAAAAAACCCAGACTCTGAGATGTCCTTCCAATTGCCAAGTTCACAGAGCTAGTCCGTTGCAGAGCTGGCCTCGTGTCCTCCTAGTGGTCTGTGTTATCATAGTCTGAACTGTAAGTGATTTACTAGCTTGCTTCTTTAAAGAACAGAATGTAATGAGTTACTTTTTCTAAGAAGTGTTTCACTTAAATATAGAAACAGCTAACTTATCAGGCCTGGAACCAAATCATGTCATTCCCAGGGCTCGCTGATCGCTCCAACACCGCAGCAACCAACCACAGAATTCTCTGTCCATAACGGGAAGAAGCCAAGTATGAATTCTCTGCTTCCAAAGAAGCCACACTTCCTGGAAAACTCAACGACAAGCCCATTGATATCCCCACCGCCCCACAGGCTGGCAGCCTCTGGAAGCCTGCCGTGGACACACAGGAGGTGGACTGTGCACACAGCCTTCAGAGCCAAGGCAACGTTCCCAAGCCAACGGCTCATCCTGGGCTCTATCCTGGCCAGGGGCCGCTGTGACGGT